TAGAACGTTAAGTTAATTCACTTGTTATTATTTTTGGCTAAATATGCTTTTAAATAAAGCATATTCTTAAATTTTAACGAGGCAGTTTAAATAATTTTGCGAATGGTACTGTACACTTTTGTCTAGTTCTCGCTCGATGATCGGTGGAGAAATGAGCTCCGCAGACAAATATGATTGAATTTGGAATTACGCTACGGCGCATCCTAACAAAGGGAAGGGGCATATCTCTAACTTCTTGAAACGAACAGTACGTTAAATTTTTCTCCCACCAAAATTAACGTTCGTACGAATAAAAAGAATCACCCTGTATATACGTTTATCGTGTAAATTGTGTCCTGAACAGGGACGGACAAACAATTTAAAAACAGAGGAATTGGAGTGTATTGAGTGTGCGTTGACAGTAGGTAGAAGATTCCCAACCAAAAGAGATACACATTAGTATCCCACTCCACAGAAGAGGTCCGCTCTTAAACCTGTAAATACCTCGGAAGTTTCCTCAATGTACGTGATATTGGTGCGCACTCCTAAAGGCCACTTAACGTGGATCTGATCCTTATTAAGCTGTAGGAGGAACACTACCAATACAAAAAGAGCATTGAACATGAAGAATGCAAATACTGACTTATTGCGGAGCTCAATTAGCTCTTTCGCTATTCTGGCCTGTAATAAAGAGATCAATATGTTTAAAAACGTGTTCGAAATGGGACACATGACCTCTGTAAAGCTGCTCCGTCGAATCGTACTCGCGCCTACCGTATACGCAAAGGAAATAGCAAATAAAAATCCTGTAATTCAGAGAAAAAGAACAGCGTACGGTTACAAAAATCATGTGATCCCAGAAAAATTACCTCTTGTGTGGTTTCGTCATAAGTGATATTTGTTCTGACGCCAAACGGCCATTTAATGTGAAGGACGTCTTTCTTCAGGGTGAGCAAAAATACAATGAGGACAAATATAGCGTTCAGCATAAAGAATGCAAAAACGGAACGATCTCGCAACTCCTTCAGATCCGATGCTATACGGGCCTAAAATTTTGCAATTTGTTGTCATAATCAATCGTTCAATTACTGAAAATTACCAAAAAATGGTAACGACATCTAGAAACATTGAATCTTCATTATTCTTCGATTCTTATTATAATCAATAAAGCAACGAATTATTATTACAAATAGATACTTATTGCAAATCTAGTTTTTGATTCATTCTCATTGTCTTGTATTTTAAACTACATTAATAGGAATATTAAATGTGGTGCATCTTCGATTATAACATTAGAGATGACGTGAAAGTACATTATTAAAGTATAGTTTGAAATTAAAATGAAAAGTAAAATAATATTGTAGGCATCCATAGAAAATAGACATTATTAAAGGTGATTTTAAAGAAATATTTCTAATTTAAAGTTTTGATCAAGACGTAGGTACATAAAAACGCTAATAGTAACACTATTCTTACCTTTTCTTCCTTGTTTTCGTCAATTGGATACAAATACTTATCAAGAAGGTCCTTCCAAAATTGTATTTCCGTTGAACTAAGATATTCAACTTCACCTTTTCGAAGTTCGGGATCTTCTATCCAATAAGGATTGACCAGATCGTCCCTGTCGTTCCTTGGACTAGTAGATACCGTTTCGCTGTCCGATTCCTGGCTGGACTCTTCATGACCGTCTTCTGCAATATTGCTAAGGTGATGATCCTTCGATGAAGCGGACATGCTTCTTCTGCGGTGAACGTGATGACCATGAGGATCAACAACCCTGTATGAAATACAATACAATTGTAAATATATTTTTACCAAAGAAAATATGAAGTTGAAGCACCTTTCCAAATTCTCCAATTTTTTGTTAAGCTTTTCTAATGTTTCGGAGATATTAATTAGTTGGACCTTTTCATCTTGATTCTTTTGATGAGTGCAGAGCATACATCTGAAGAGACCGGCTAAAGATATTTCAATACTGCCTTCGTCGTCGTCGTTAGTACCTCCGTTTTGAAGAAACCCGAGGAGGGACTTTTGCTTAGCTCTCTTTTTGGCTTCTTCTGCAGCTTTTCTTTCTTCCTCCAGTTCCTGTAATAAATTACGTCGTCATTGACAAAATGTTCTGTCGTCCAATTAAGTATCGAAAAATATCTCTAATCACGCACAGTTGCCTTACCTTTTTGGTCTTTTTCGTTGCAACTTCTCGGGTGCCCCACGAGACAACATTCAAATTGATGATTGAGTAGAGAATCAACAGGAGGTACATGGACGGGATCGAAAGCAGATAAATGATTCCTGGAACGATGCACCAGAACTCTTGAGGATGCAAACAGGCCGCTATGAAGAACGACCCTGTCATTGCTATTAAAAAGATGGCCGAAGGTGAACCGACGCCGTCCTCACGCAATTGTAACGCAGTACCGACTATCACGGCCATCATGATGAGTGCGTATCCTGTCGATAATATCTGAGCACACAGGAGCTGTAACGAAACAAAAGAACGTTGACCAACAATACATCATTCTGCTTGCGATCGATATCATTTATAGCAGAAAATATTTTGTGTTTTCACTTTAATTGATTCTATTTTAAATAAACGAAAGGGAAGCAGTAACAGTTGTCTTCCATAAAATATGACAATGTGGTCGGTATGTTAATGTGTAAGGTATGTTTGCATTCCTTTGGAAGAGTCACCTACCTGGATATTAGATTTACATGTGAAACAGACCAACATGAAGAAAAAAATTGGCATAATGTTGTAATAAAAGCTTGTCCAGTTGTCGATTTGGAAGGCGGCCACAAACGCACCCACCAACATAAGAAATATAGTACCAGGACCCAAAATCGTACCACCCATGAGAAGGATCTAGAAAAGAAAGGGATTCGTTATAGCTTCTTTTTCGCACTTTATCTTCTTTATATGTATATATCACCTGATAAGCGATGTAAGGCATTGAAATATTGTCATTGACTTTGACAGTTTTCTTGTAGTCTTGAAGAAGATCCATAATGTTGGCAATGGTCGACGGTACCCATCTACGTCTTTGGTTGTAGAACTCGTTAAATCCTTCTGGCGCATGAGTGTATGCATCGGAAGCAGCTGAATATTCTACTCGATAACCTCTTTGTAATAAAAGTGTACACAGCCATCTATCTTCTCCTTGATCGTATTGCACGTAATGTCTGGCCTCCGCGGAACTAAAAAAAAATTATCTACTGTAGAGCCGGAAGTGGCAATAGAAAAGAGAAATTTACCAAGTGGTGTATTTCTTCATGACGTTATCGTCCATAAGTGATTTGCCCCTGAAGAGTGAAAAACATCCAGGGCTACAAAGTACACAGCCAATCATGTGCTCAGTGGCCTTCTGAAGCCAATGACCAATTGCATACTCAAACAGTTGGTACCATACCATTGGGCCTGAACCAACCGGATGAATTCTTCCACAAGCAGCACCTGAAAGAAATATCGACATTTGATCATATTTGACTATGCAGAGGGACGAGACGAACTTACCTAAATTTTTATTTTTCTTCATTAAATCGACAAGTAAATGCACAGCTTGAGGTTGAAAATCGATATCTCCGTCAAGAGTTAAAAGATAAGTGTTTTCTGCAATCACAGCCTTTCTGTCCACGGAAATCGGTAACTCCATAAGTCTATGACCTAACAAGTAATACATGTACATGACTTGGGACCATCGTTTCCTGTGTCTGATTTTCATCTTGTCCTTCAAGTGTGCTATCATCTTCGTTTTACCGGGAAGAGTCCAGACGAGCCTTCCGCCGTAGGGGGTTGGTATTTTCTTCGGAGGCCTCACTCTGATATGAGTTTGATGGACGTCAGAAGCGGCTTCGTCGATCGTTGCAACCAGGAGCTTGACGAAACGATTCACCTGACTGTCGTTGTCGTTGTGGTCGGAAATTTCGAAAGCATCATCGAAGAAAATGTGTGCTAGAAAAAATACATAATATAATCACGGAAAATAAGTGAATAAGATGGTATGAATACTTTCGAATTCGTAGTAGTCTGGATCTACAATGCGTAAATATTTTTGGGCAACTCGTCTTGCAGACTGGTCCTCGTCCAGCCTTAATATGGATTTCAAAAATTCAATCATTTCCTCTTTGTTTTCGTGCCACATAGTTGCGCATGCATATATTCTAGTTATATGATCTGAACTTTTGATAGTTTTCGGCGTAGATCCATCCGTATGGTTTGAAATTGTTTCGTAGTACTCGTCGCCTTTCTCCTTCTGAATCTCGTCCAAATCTTCAGGTTTAACGTTGGCTTGATCGTCTCTCCGCCTGTTCAGAGCTAAACTCTGATCGATTAGCAAGCCGTCGTACATCGGTAGCACAAATAACTTTTCGGTTCTCGCCAGACGTTCACATTTCGGTGTCCAAATGTGTATGGTGATCCATGTCTGAGATAACAGCCACACCAGCCAGATCCAGGCATGTTGGTGCGATATGAAATCGTTCAGTACATCGGCCGGAGGACTTTCAAAGAACAAGTAACCGGGTATCGTATCGTGAAGAAAGCAGGGATCACTACTTCTTAATCCGCATGCGGCGATTAGCAGAGATATCGTTACCGGTATGGTTAGATTTACGGGAAAGGCGTACGAGAAACCCTGTATCATGATTTTGCAAGCAAACTTTCCGAAAATATAGCACAGGTACGATGCTGTGATGTTAATTAATAAGACGTACAATGGAGTGGATTCCCAGGATGGTATAGTGACGTCGTCTCCTGTTGGAAGTAGCTCGGAAATATCGGGCAAAATTACACCGCCAAGCAGTGGCTTTATCTCTGTTATTGTAATCGTGTGAACGCTGAAGCTTTTAGAAAATTCGTTGAAGAAAAATGCAACCTCTCCTTCTTTGATCAAGCAGATGATGAGTAGACAGAGGAAGAAACAGGCGCATTTCCACGTTGAAATGAAGATGTACGTGAAATAACGGGTCGCGTCCATTTGGCTTTTTACTTTTCCCAGAGCTTTTATAAATGGCACTGGCGACTGTTCGCATATGTAATTCTCCCACCAGCCGATCGAAATAAGAACGGTTGAAATGGGGATCAACCATAATTCCTTTCTGCCTGCCATTATTGGCCAAACAACGAATCCAGTGACTTGAGCCGTAATGGCTATGAGATCTATTATTACTTTGATAAATCGTTGCGAGTCCTTTTTACTTCTAGAAAACAGGCCTGGAAAAAAATTCAACATAATTTCGAATTTTTTTTGAGCGTGTTCTATTATTTACGTACATAAAACTCCAGGTACAAAGCAAATACAATTGGTCAGCATAGCTCCTTTGACAACATCGAGATCTGGTAGTACAAAATATACCAGAATAGCCAGCCCAACGGTGTGAGCTGTTTCGGTGAAGAAAACTACGAGAAATATGGGAAAGGACGGTTTCTTACAAGACTTAAAGAAACAAATCCTGGAAGCACGAAATAAGGCTCCCAATTCAGGAACCCAAAAGGCGAACATGAGACACCACATCCATGCTACCCTTTCCACTTCAGGTTGTTTAACTATAAATTGTTTTTCTCTACCTAAAATATCGTTTTTGCTGTTATTAGCATACTTTCAAAAAATAACTTGTGACAAACTCCTACCTAATTCTTTGTTACAATATTCGACTATTTTGTCAGTTTTGAGTTGGGACGTCATGAAAAGCAGCGTACCCTTCGATATGACACCTGATGCTAGTACTATCACAAAAGTAAGTAAATATGCTAGAACTTTGAGTATTTTGGCCGATATTTCGAAACACTTCTGATTGGCCATGGACCCAGAGTCCACTTTGACCGGAGGGTCTCTGAACACGTCCCATCCTTTGGTTTCTTGAACTGTTCTGGTACTGTAATAAAAAAAAAGGGAACGTTTTCAAAACATTTTTTACCAAACATTGTTTTTTAAAAGGTTAACTAACATTGATCTTTTGAAAATACAAGGATAGTTTAAACTATTGATGAACCGGATAGTGATAGTAGAGGATAACCAGGTACCTAGCAAAACCACTACGGTTAATAGTTCGTTCTGGCGAACTTTTCATTACATACCACCCTCACCATCATCCCAAACAAAGTCCCTTTCAAAAAAGTCGTTTAAACAATTAATTTAGAAATTCGAAAAAGGTTGTTAATGTTGTATGTTTGGAGCACGGCGCTGTACGGGTGCGAAACATGGACAGTGGGCGCGGCAGAGAAAAAAAGGTTAGAAGCGTTCGAAATGTGGTGTTACCGTCGAATGATAAGAATACCGTGGATAGAGAAGGTTAGAGATGAAGAGGTATTAGAAAGAGTAAGAGAACAGAGGACTCTATGGAAATCAATAAAAAATAGGCGAGATAGGTTAGTAGGACACCTTCTCAGGCATGAAGGTCTAGTCAGAGACATATTAGAGGNAAATTTTCTACAGCCTATTACTCAATCCTTTCCAATTAGCATTGTTTCTTGTATGCATTGGTAAGGATGTCCTTTTAGATGATGAATCGTCTTCTTCGAACGCCCTGTTCACGTGACCGTTTTCAAAAACGTCTTGTAATGGTATACTTGCGGTACTGTTTCTGTGACTTCTCAATACGTTGTTGTTTCCGTATTCATTCTTTGCCCCCAATGTCTGCATTTGCGATTTCTTCCTCTCAGCCATGACAGAATTGATCCTTACCTCCAACGCTTTCATCGTCTCACGTCCCATGGTCAGTTTTCGGCTCAGAACAGGCGTACCTTTAATATGAAACGGGGTTTAATGAGAAAATAGAAATTAAATCGGAAAAATATGATTGGTTGGTGAAGAAAGAAAAAAATGCTTGTGTGTGCGTAATTAATTTAAAATGAAACGAAAGTTTTATATAAGGTCCGTACTTATGTCGACGGTGAAAATTTTATAAGGTAAAAACTAGGAAATCAGCAAAAAAACACGTGTCTATCTTAGTAGTGGATGGGGTACCATACATGCAAGTACATGTGTGTACTGCAATTTCTACAAATAGTATTTTAGTGTCCTAAGTACGTCCCTGATATATGGTAAAGCCAAATGCAAAAAGCGTTTCAAAAGACGCAGCTGATAATAGGGAAAGTAAAACATAAGAATTTCCTGTGTTAACTCTACCGTATAAATTAATACCTTCCACTCCGGTCTGGTTAAGTTTTGCAAACCGTTTCTTGAAAGCGACATCAAGAGTTCCAATTTGTCTCTTTCGGTGTGCCGCTTTTTCTATATTATGTATTGTTTTTCTTCTTCCGATCCTGTCCGGTCCCGAGCCTGAATCGTTGTCGTAATCGGGATCGTCTATTCCCTGCAGTTTTTGCAATTGCTTCACGATTTCAACCGCTTGTCGATCCAGTAAGGCATTCGGAGACAAGTCTTCCTTCTATAAACAAAAACAACAACTAATAAAACAGAAGCAAATAAAATAAATTTAATTAACTGAATTTGCCAAAAATTTAGTAATAGAACTGTTATCAAAATTAAATATAGACTCGTTCTTTTAGCTTAGGAGTATATTCATATGTACGTCGGTGTATTTATTTATTTATGAAATGACAAAATATTTTACCTTTTTTGTACAACACCAATTTAATTCGGTGGCGGCCAAAATGTGGGCTATTGTACCAAATCGATGGAACAACATTGCTACGAACTGAATGACTAAAATCAAAGCGAAGAAGAACACGAAAACCAAACCAATCGGTTCCAACTGAAGGTATTCCTTGGAAATGTGTACCTGTGAAAAGCGTTATAATTAGAATTCACAAAATGATACATAATCTTATCTATTATTTGTTCTATCTCGCTATACGTTAATATAAAATATACTATAGATATGTGCAAGTCGCACCCAAAAAAAATATTGAAAAACATGCATTATAAATTCAAGGAATGATTCACTGGGTGAGTGCCCTGTGTTGTAGGCATTTGATTTGAATGCAGTGGAATTTTCTGCAAAATTATTTGACATACAATTAAAATAAATCATTTTCATCACGTCCCCGTAGGTAGGGATGTGTTGGAATTTTGCGATACAACAATTTTTTTGGCACACCTTGCACATTCTTAGGTAGATAAACATAAACAGCAGAAATTTCTAAAAGTAACTAAAATTTTACAAAATATACAAATATGTAATGGCAATAGCAATTCGAATTGTTCAGAGTTGGTGTTGTGTACTGCTGCAAAACGACTTCAATGCTGAAAGAGAACGATTATGTATTTGTTACGGTGGTGGTGTGTTTTGATTTTTTTTTTGTTTATCTTCAACTCAATAAAATTCAGTATTTAGTGAATTGTGAGAAAGCGCATTTCTGATTTTTTTACCCTCGTGATAGTATGAATGATAATAGATAATAGAACTAATAGAAAGTTCATCTTCATTAGCGAAACAAATGAAGTTTTGTTAATGGAAATAATGTATGTGTACACATAATGTTTTGTTATAAACGATTCTACTTCGTACTTTGATAAGCTAATGGTATCAAAATCTATATTCAAAAAGTAATCCACAACCTTAAAAATCTCGTATTCTTAAAAAAAAAAAACAAGAAATTGTAAGTGCATTGTATAATACTTAAATACTTGTTTAAAACTCAGCTAAAATTTACCAGAATCGAAATATAAAACGCTTTGTTTTAATTAATTGTTTAATAAAGTTTTTTTATTTTAATACCAGCAAGTGCAGACTAAATCTATTTAATAAAATAGTCTGATGGTTCTTTGAATTTAGGATTCGATACCAAGCTGGAAGCTATTTCGAAAATGCAGCTAATTAATGAATATGTAATCAAAATGTATGATTCTTGGAAAAAATGAAAATCAATTAACACTGCGGTTGATTGTGAAATAATACAAAATGTTATTTGAAACGATTTTAATGCTTTTGATGGCCATGCGACTGAAATATCGATAATTTATTATGTCGAAAAGAATGTTTTAATGTTGATGGTAATTGTTTAATTTGATGTGATGTAATTTTCTTGTACTAATATACACTTCAATGAATCTACGATACAAAGTATGCATTCGAGTATCTTCCGTTCCTTAAGTTTCACTTTAATCATTTACAAATTTCTTCATCAATTTAAAACCGGATGAAATGCAAAAAGGACGGAAGAATTTAATGAAAAAAATTCCAGAAGGACAGAAATTGATTCTGATTACAGATTCAATGTCTGGTATTCTGTACTTCATAACTGATCTAACTACTTATTCTACAACTACAACTATTTCCCGTTAATTTTTGTTAATTTTCGTTAGTAATTACAACATTCTGCAATCAAATGTTAGTTCCTTNAATTGAACAGTAATCTAGTAGATACTTTTTTATTTTATTATATTTCTATCAGAATGTATATGTGTAATTAGTAATTACGCAAAGTTTCAGCTAAGTTCAAAACTGACTTGCAGTATTTATAATAGACAACACGACAAATTAAATAGAAGCTTCTGTTAATCAATAAGCATTAATCTTTTCAACAATTATTTATTGTATAATGCTTATTAGAGCATACTCTGCTGTTATGGTAATATATTTTGTGTGGCTCGAATGTAAGCAAGTGTGTCAGTAATTTTCTTTTCATTTCATTGTCAGCTTAATAAGCTGACAGGAGAAATCTCTTTTATAAAGGATTAGTTTCGCACACACTTCCGGACTATTAACAGATGTCAAATTTACTCGTTAAATACATACGTATTTATCTGAATATGCTATTTGTACCGATTTAGAGAATTAAACCCAAAATAATACAGATAAGTATTATTTCTCTTTTTGCTTTGCAATCGATTTCCAATAATTCGAAATTTGACGACTTAAAACCGCAGTCAAACCGCAAAACTAAAAAGGAAAAGGAAGTAATGGGTACGGTAGTTTTCAGTTCTTTGAACAATTCCCTCAAATGTTTGAGCATACCAAAAGAAAAGAAAAAAGTTCGTTAATAGTTAATAGCAGCGGTAACTTCTGGTTTCAGAGCTGCACATCTACATAATGCAAAATTTATTTATACTTATAATTTTTTTTAGTTATAGCAGTATATGACTGTGCTAATGATTGCTATAATTTAAGTATTTCATAGTATAAGCGAAGGCTTTACAAAATATGTTCTCTATTTATCCAACTGACACATTTAAAAGAATGCAATACCGTACGTGAATCTTCATTTCGATCTCATTAGCACGCCATGGGCTTCGATTTTGTAAGCGATTGGTTGAGATTGCCGAAATAATAAACAAATACACACACTAACTTCATTGTCTCCGTTTAAAGTCAACCAAAGTTTATATATAAAACCTATGTGGATGAAAAGTCTCTGATAAAAACTTATCAAGAAATAAAATACTGAAACTCAGGATTGTACATACTTTTTTTGAAATCAGAACCGGTCAAATACGGTATTTATCGGTCAAACCTGAAGAAGTACCATTTAAGACGAAACGTATTATATTTAACTTTAGCAATTATCTAAAAAAAACACCCCCACCCCCTACGGACTTGAGGTTGTGGTGTGTGTCAAAGGGAGATCTATTGAGGAAGAAAAAAAATTTAGCAGTCCGTCATAACTTTTTACAATAACACACAGGGTTGAAATCCTACCCCCCACAACGTCAAGTCGATAGGTAGGAGGGGCGCTTATTATATAATTATCATGTCAACAAAATTGTAAACTTTATTTAAACATGAATAAACAACACACCACACGCCACAATCTCTAGAGAAAATATTGGGTAATTGTCTAAAAAAAAAAACATCCCCCATCATCTCCTATTGACTTAGGGNTCGAATGATGAGAATACCGTGGATAGAGAAGGTTAGAGATGAAGAGGTATTAGAAAGAGTAAGAGAACAGAGGACTCTATGGAAATCAATAAAAAATAGGCGAGATAGGTTAGTAGGACACCTTCTCAGGCATGAAGGTCTAGTCAGAGACATATTAGAGACAGAAACGGAAGTTAGGAGGGGTAGAGTTAGACCTAGATTAGATTACTGTTCGCAAATAGTTAAGGATATGGGTTGCTCTGGCTTTAGAGAAATGCGAAGATTAGCGCAGGATAGGAAAGAGTTGTCCAACGGCGTGTCCAACCACTCTTAGGACTGACGACCTTATGATGATGAAACAATTAACTAACGAAATTTTAATTTTTGGTTGGCGGATTTTCAACGAGAGGGTTGAGTTGAAATCTTTAAAACGAACCTTTAATGTTTATAAATGCTGGGTTGCAAAGTCATTCTAACAACTTATCGTTAAATAAAATCTAATATACCAACAAACGACAGAAATTGCAACAGTTCGGTCATACTCATGTATTTTTGTATACGAAAAAAAAAATAAACGCAAGTACTACTTCGAAATAACAAATCATTTAGCATAATAATCAATAAATAATATAAATTAGGACAAATGACCTATCCCAAAACAATCTTAATTACCAATTTTAATTAGGCAGGGTTTTTTTATAAGTACTTATTAAATGATTTTTGCTGATGTTGGATTGTTCTTTTTTCTCTAGTAGATTTACCCGGTACTGCCGGATAACTGGCGTAATTGTCCGGTACCCGGCCGGATCTTAAAAAATGTTCTGGATCCAGTCGATACTGAATCCAAAGCGGGTATCCGACTCATGTCTAATTCAAACCCGGAACATCCACCATATATTTTATTTGAAGAAAACATAATATTAATAAACATCAACTATTATGTAGAACTGTTCTAAATATACAGTATTTGCATAAAACAATTCATAAGCAATAAAATTTCGATTTTGATGAAAAAGTTTGCAACAAATTAAAACTTCGAAGCTAAATCGCCAACATAATTTTGTGTTGTATTTATCTAGTGCCTACTGTTATTACAATTCACTATTTTACTTAACAGTTAATGAAAGTTAACTGAAAATTACTTTTGTTAATAAATGTAGCTAATAAGTGAAACTTTTGCGGTTAGAACTTGGGAAAATGGGAGTCGCAAACACAGTTTTCACATCGGTCAATGTAAACCAATTAAAAAAGTTGTACAAATTCTTTTACACCATAGATTTCCTTTGAGACTCTTCCTAATACATATTTAATTAGAAAGATATTTCACATTTTCCTATTAAATCGATTCAATGGATTTCTTTTTTCAGTTTCTAGTGGTTTCTTAGGTAATACTTGGTAATCAGGTCAGAAATTTTAGAAGTCGAATAGTGAATAATAAAATGGAAGCGGTACTGACAGATCAGTACTGTATGAAAATAAATAAAAGTAAAACTAAAATACTAATATGCAAGGGAAGAAAAAGTAGGGAAAGAGCGAATATAAAGATAGGAGACGAAAAATTAGAAGAAGTGGCTGATTTTAGATACCTAGGAAGTCAGATAAGT